ACATTATACTTGTTAAACTGATTACCCTTAAAATCCAAGAAAATCAGATTTGCTTAAGTGAAATAAGAGACAACTGCACGTTCTCACGAGAATAATTTACAGCGGTTTTAAAAACAATTTTATATCAGAAACTCATTTTCATGGTTTTAAATTAATTCGGAAATTTGAGTGGTTTAGTTTAAACCGTAAAAATTATACTGACGTTAGCCATCACATGACAACTGTGAAGAATGTGGCTGAAAAATGTGTGTTATGTATAGAATATGGGGAAAACCCACTAGAGCAGGAAATGTCACGAGGGCGACTGATGTTCCACGTGGAATGACACGCTAATTGATGTAGTATGGGAATCTCTTGTGATGGTATATATATATATACAAGACGTATCATTACTCCACCAACAACTCATATCTAAAATGTATATTTACACTTGCAGAACATACGTTTACAGATGATTAACACTGAACGTTCTTAAAATGTTATCACATAAATTTGATACCGTTAAATAAGGGCATCATGTTTTGTATGTGTTTCACGTAGCAACCAAATTCTGAACATGGCTGGAATATTGTTATGTTTACAGTGAAAATGCAACAGAGAGGGTTCGGGTGATCCTGGCACAGTCAGGCTGGTAAGGTTCATCATCAGCTCAGGACCCTTGGACCCTCTACACGCAGTCCAGACAGCGAATGGGACATCTCGCAGGAAACGCTGCCTAGTCGAACACAACAAGAACTTTCCGGAGAATATGGTGACTCCCCACCAGTGCAGCCTTCTGCATTACCCAGAGCGTCAGAAGGGCTGTGCTCCCGGTGGAGAACCCGGGCACTCTCCTGATCTGCGCCAAGAGATCAAGAGATCGGTGCCAAACCAAGGGCACCGAGAACAATGGGGAGTCTGACGACAGTGTGCTTGGGATGCAAGCGAGACATTGCAAAGGCGAGGTCCGCATATTCAGCATGCTTTCCCAGAATCTTGCCAATCATGTTGCTGTCAAAAGGGACAGAAAATTCAATGAAATACACTCACGTGCAAAAGAAACATCCCCAAAATAAAAATCATTATTATTTTCGTCTAAGGAGCCATATACGTGAATTATCGTTGGGAATACATCCCCCAAACACACATAAACGTTTTACGTGAAGGAAAACCACGTGCCGCATGTCCTAAGCGGTAAAAATCACTTTGAGCGCCAAAACTTCCCACACGTGCAGAAAAGTACCCATATGCAATCTGTATTTAAAACACGAGCTGAACTGTTCTCTGTCATCACTTACACCCGTTTGGCCAACAAAACATGCCTCGATCAACATCAGAGCAAAGAGAACGAGCAGTTAGTATGCTGGAGGTGGGAGCCACGCACTCTCAAGTTGCAAGAATCATGGGCTGTGCAAAACGAACAATTGGAAGATTGGTCACACGTTTAAGACAAACTGGCAGGACAGCAGACAGGTCAAGGAGCGGCAGACCAAGCGTCACACACACACACACACACACACACACACACACACACACACACACACACACACACACACACACACACACACACACACACACACACACACACACACACACACACACACACACACACACACACGCAACACCACCATTTACGGGTGCTGCATCTAAGGAACGGATTCCTAACTGTGACGTCATTAGCGGCGCGAAGTCTTGGGCATCGAGTCAGCAGTTGGACATGGTCCATATAGTCTTTGTGCACATGGTATACGTGCCTACCGATCTTCAAGGCCACGGTGTTTACGCTTGAACATCAACGTAGTAGATTGGCATGGGCCAGGAATGTTCGTCAGTGGCAACGAAATTGGTGTCGAGTTCTTTTCACAGATGAAAGCAGGTTCCAAATGAACAGGCCTGATGGTCGGGTACGTGTCTACAGGCGACGTTGTGAACGGACTATGCGGTGTTGCGTACAGGAAATGGAGCCCTATGGAGGTGAGAGTGTGATGGTTTGGGGGTCATTTGCGGCAACCAGAAGGCAGAACTGGTTATCATTGAACGAAATTTAAATGCAGTTCTATATTGGCCTCGTTTTGCGGCCTGTGGTACTGCCTTTTCTTCAAAGAAATCCACGAACCTTGTTCCAACAGGACACTGCTCCTCCTCACACAGCTGTTGCCACAAGGAACTTCTTAACTGTCAACAATATTATCGTCTTGCCTTGGCTAGCAAAATCTCCAGACATGTCTCCTATAGAGCACCTGTTGGACCGTCTCGGACGTCGCATCCGAAAGCGTTTACCGTCTCCGTTGACCAGGAATGCGTTGTTTCAGGCCCTGCAGGAAGAATGGCGACAGGTACCAGATCAGTGATTAGATGTCTTGTCCATTCTGTGCGACGTCGTGTCGAGGCATGCATTAACACCGGAGGTGGTCACCCACGTTACTAGAGACTTTCCTGCCCTTTGGAGCATTTTATGCTGCGATGTTGTCTGTTGGCATGCGCTCAAAAACAAGACAATCAACCGTCGTTTGTAAACGTAGCCTACAAACATGTTCAATTAAGCCTGATCTCTGTGTTAACCTACCAAATAGTAAAAATATAATTTGTTTATTGATATGAAACCTTAATCATACTTATTGTGTTTGTCATTGTTGTTTGAGAGACGATAAAATGCATGAGGACGTTTCTTTCGCACATGAGTGTAAATTCACAGGTTTGTTGGCTGGAATTCTTCTGAGGCTGTATATGGGCCTATTCTAAAGAAATTTAAAAGCATCATTTTCCATGACGCCCTGGACATGTTCAGGGTCGTACCATGGATGGACCATGGAGTCAAAGCCACAGGCATGACAATGCGATAGTAGAAGCAGCGAGTTAAGGTGTTGGATAGTCTCTCTAACTTTATTACACAGTCGGCATTTCAATATCGCCATCATTATTATTGGGATTAAGGGCATAGTTACTTACCCAAAAAGTAATTATGAGCAAAATGATATCATATCACCGCCTTCTTTTAGTATTTACTCTCATACCTCCATAAAACATTCACTTTCCAAACAACATTCCACCTATATAGAATCCCTACATTCGGACACGTGGTGGGATTTCCTTAAGTCAGAATGCATTTAAACACGTACTTGTACACGAGCTTGCTCAAATCGGGAAACACAACAGTATCAGGCGGGAAGATGTATATAAATGGGAACCATGCAGATTAAGACTTTTAAGAAGTTTTGATCTGAAATAATTTAGTATTCTTAGATACATATATACAAGCAGGTACATCTAGGTATAACATGCATCATATAAAAACGAATCTAGGTATAACATGCTTCATATCCTGATATAGCATGCATCCTATTAAATAGAATCTATATATAACATGCATGTCAAAGAGAATCTAGATGTAATATGCATAATATTAAAGAACATCTAGATATCACATGCATCATATCAAAGGGAATCTGACCTTTGAAGATCCGGGTTAGATTTGATCTTCAGTAGCCCAAGCTGGTAAAAGGCGACAAACGGGATCGGGTGGTCAGGCTCGCTGACTTGGTTGACACATGTCATCGGTTCCCTATTGCGTAGAACGATGCTCGTACTGTTGATCACTGGGTTGTCTGGTCTAGACTCGATTATTTACAGACCACCGCCATATAGCTTGAATAATTGCTGAGCGCGGCTTAAACCTAAACTCACGCACGCACTCAATGAGAATCTAGATCTAGCATGCATCATATCATATGGAGCCTCACAACAGGCGACTGTATTTACCTCAGTACCCTTTGCCAGGTTTTGGTCAAATCCCATTTTCCAGTATATGCATGTACTGTCTTTAGGACTCAATGTGTAAGGCTAACAACTTCGTTATTAAACGATAAATATCACTGAAAATACATTGTTGATCGCGTTGTTTTTTAATAACACACGGGAATAGGAAATATGTACTAATCATTTTCCCTAATGTTAATTCTAAAGATACACGCGGAGTTACAGCAACATAAAACATATGTACCTACCTTCATACTTGCAGTAAATAAAAAACGTAGGAAATGTATCGAATCCATTACACAATCGAACTGGTTAATGACAAAAGGGCATCTCTTGTCGTCAGCGAATGACGTCAGATGCACGTTTTGGCTTTTGTTCTGTCAAGCGATTGCTTCATATAGTGGAAATTTAAAGGAACAGCAGACTGGAGTTAGGGATGGGGATGGGATTAGCTACAACGGTCGAATTATATCCGGAGTTTGCATATTACCACGTTAACAGTAACAAACAATACCGTTGATTTTATTCGGCTGTTTGCACGTGCACGTGTGATTGAAGTAAACCCGGAACTAATCGATGAAACATCCGGAGATGCAGAAGAAAGTACACCATCAAAGCACAGACTATTTGCAAAGTGAATGTTTTAAACTTAATTTTGCCCCTTCCCGCTTTTACAAAAGACTGACATGGCGCCGATTGGTCGAGTTAAATAAAACAAACTGCCATGGATATTCCACGTTTACACATTTTGGAAAGTTCACAGGTTAGCGGGCATCATACCGGACATGCTGTACGATGGTGACATCAGGGAAAAGTCTTGGGATAAATATAGCATCAAGTATGCAACTGACGTACCACAGGGTATATATACCTAACGTGGCATTCATTAAATCATTCGTTTTGAAATCGACGTTAAGATAAGACCTTTGCAAGACTGACATGATTTCGCCTGTTTCATTTCTAGGTATGTACACCTGTTTATTGTGTGTCATTTGATAACACGAAATGCTGTAGAGAAATTATGTCTTGGTATCGCGGTATCAGTATATGTTCACTTACAAATGTAAGTTTTGAAACAACTATTTTTTCAAATACTTTCTTTTATACAACCTTGATATGAAACAGTAACTTAAATTTTAAATAAGAATTTCGTTTACCAAATTATTCATTGCAATATTGGATTGTTACATTGATGAACATGGTTAATCGTACTTAATCTGAAAAAAAGAATAAAAGTAAGTTTTCTGTTTCTTTCAGTCCTGACAATACTTTTGTGTTATGGTTACGCCAACCCAATTCCTGACAACAGTTACCTCCCTTGGTCCAGGCCGTGTCGCGCACTCCCGTCCCACAATGATGTCACAGGACAGAATTCCCATTCATCGTCTCTTTCCATGAACGAGTTGACAACATCTATTTACATTTTGACCTCGGAGGCCTTAGACGTGGCGCAGACACTGAGAGATGAAATTGTAAGCTATTCTGTTTTTACAGTTATGACAGTGTGTTAGCTGTTATTTTTGTGATTATGTTTAGTTTGCAATGGACCTACTTATAGGTTACTAACCATGATGAGTATCATTTTTTTTATTGTTGCATTTTTAAGACGCCAAGCTAAAGTACAATGTCGGAGTTCAGATGATGGTGATGATGATGATGATGATGATGATGATGATGATGATCGTCGTCATCATCAACACGATCATCCCATTACTATTATTACTATTATTGTTATCATTGTTATTTGTGTAGTGAATGAGTGAGTTTAGTTTTACGCCGCACTCAGCAATATTCAGGTTATATGGCGGCGGTCTGTAAATATTCGAATCTGGACCAGACAATCCAGTGATCAACAGCGTGAGCACTGATCTGCGCAATTGGGAAACGATGACATGTGTCAACCAAGTAAGCGAGCCTGACCACCCGATCCCGTTAGTCGCCTCTTACGACAAGCATGGGTTACTGAAAGTTCATTCTAACCCGGAACTTCAAGGGTCTTTTTGTGTAGTAGTAGTAGTAGTAGTAGTAGTAGTAGTAGTAGTAGTAGTAGTAAGAAAACACTGCTTGACGTCAACGTCCTTGTACAGTTTCAGCACCGGCTCAACTCCAATTTACGAATGGCATATTACTTTGAAACGTTTCACCACAACAACTTCCCCATTCGACAGGACGTTATCGAGTGGACACACACTGAACATGTAAGTCCGCTCTTTTATGGTGATGGTTTCTGATACAAGTTAAAATATATTTTAAATTTGAAAGTGCTAAGATGATGAGTTATGTTGTTGTAAATTTTCTCCGTCTTTTGCAATAGATTCAAACATATTTTACCTCTTTCGTAGTGATATGCTTTTAAATATAAGTCATATGCACGTTCACAGCGGAAGGATACATATCGATTCTATAGACAAAAGAGTGTTTTTAATTACAACCTTAATTTTGTCAAATAATAATTTCCTCTGTAGCCAGTAGTGTATGGGTTGGTTTTCACCTGTACAATATAACCATTATGTGTTCCAGACAGGAGACGTTTTGAGAGAACACTACCGCCATGTGTCCTTCCTTCTTGCCTTCCTTGAACTCACCAAGGAGAGCAGCACAAGTTCCTCCTACAGTAGTGACGGAGTTCTTCAACATGTCAATAATCTGGAGGAGAAGTTATACGAGTTACTTTGTCACATGATGACAACCTTAAATAACCTCAATGTGAGGGTTGGCAGTCACGTGACTAGAAGCGAGATTCCCGAGCAGTTGCGCGAGATTACCAGTGTAGCCGTCATCAACAGTCGGGACTTCATCATCGCAAAGGATGCGGTTCACTTTTTATCAGGACTGAAAGAAAGTCATTCTTTGATGCGATCTGGTTACCAATAGTTCAGTTTTTTATCAATTATGTCACGTGACAATTCAGAGTCTCGAGCGCATTAATGCGACATGTACTAGAGACGAGATTCCTAATTCAACCATTCCTCCTCCGGATCCTTTAATCAGTTTAGGAGTTCCCGTCCGTCCGTCATAGGGGAACTGCTAAACATATTTCCAAGTCATATCATATTATATTTATTATATTTATATACCATTTTTTATAATACCATTTTTTTTAAATTTTTAATAATCAATATATTATTATTTATTCGCGATTGTGATAACGTAATTTATTGTTGAATATGTATGTTCGTCACAAATGTATTTTGATATGCTGTTTGGCCATTTCGTGTACATCTATGTCATTAACTTATTTTTATGAATAATGATTTTTATCAAAAATATTTAACTCGGGTTTATTTATCGTTAGGTAGGTCACAACTGTGACCTAAGAACATACGTAAAATGTGCAGTTTATTTACAAACAAAGCGTTGTTTATAACTGTGACGTGAAATGTAACTTTCCTACGTTGTATTTTGATAAGCCGTTCCTCTATATATATGAAAAAATATTAACAAAACATACTAAGAAAACGTTCACACAATAGGATTATAAATAGTTTATTTATATTTTATAATAATGCCTGTTTTGTGAATTCCAATAGTTAATGCCATCTGGAATAAGTCAATATCCTACGGGCTGTGTTTTCAAAAATTGTTTTCCACAAATAATTACAAGCGTAAAAAGGTATACCTTCTTATTCTGGCCATAGGCTGTGTATCATTAAGACATATTGATGTGGCTAGCGAGACGAGAATCACGTGACGTCCACCATTACTGAAACCAGGGAGACTATGAGTATTCCTGCTGAAAAACTCCACATTAGCCAGCGTTTGTTCACATAAGACGGCAGGTCGATTATTCTGTTTTTGTTGTCATCTGTTGCTCAATAGGTAGTATTTATGTTACAATGACGGGCAATATGAACTTGAAATTTGGAATTGACCTAAACGACGTAAACGGTTACGAAACGTTATCACCGAAAAACTGCAAAACACATTTAGATGGTGGAACACCCGCATCAAAACATCCCCATACAACAACCATGCTCCATTTTTTGGCGAACAGTAAACACGTGTGTTTATATACATTAAATGTGTTAATATGTCATACTTATATTTTTCGTGGTTTTACATGAAAATATAATGCCATATTGTAACCTTATGCCACTAACATTCTGTGACTAGCATTGTTAATGTATTAATGTCCACTTCAATGTATATTTGTAGATTATTATTTATTTATGAACGATTGATAATGGATATTTATCGCTGCAGTGTTTTGTTGTTTCACTGCTTCTTTATTTGAACAGATTTCAAAACATTCCAACTGTCTGTATACACTGTCTTTTACAAAGCCATGCATTTACATATATGTTTTTGCAGTTATGAAAAATGTATTATTTACACACGTTGCAATAAATATTTGTTTACAGAAATGATATTTTACTGCATTCATTTTTATATATGTCTTTCTAACGTTGTTTCTAAGCGAGACACGCCCCTGTGACATACTATCCATCGCATAATATAATTTTGATATTGGTTTTATTGACAACTCAATAACTGACTTACTTCAGTGAGTGAGTGAGTTTAGTTTTACGCCGCTTTTAGCATTATTCCAGCAATATCGCGGCGGGGTACACCATAAATGAGCTTCACACATTGTGCCCACGTGGGGAATCGAACCCGGGTCTTCGGTGTGACGAGCGAATGCTTTAACCATCAGGCTACCCCACCGCCCCAACTTACTTCAGCTTCAAAATGTGTGTGTTTTTGTGGCTGTATCACTTCAACGGGCCCTGTATGTCGTAAGAGGCGATTTTATGGAATGTAATTTTGGTGGTCCGGCTCCCTAATTGATGACGAATGTCATCGTTTCCAAGTTGCGTACACCAGGATGTTGATCACTGGATTGTCTGGTCCAGACTCGATTATTTACAGACCGCATGCCTTGAACCTATTTTATTACATTTTTTCCAACTAACAAAAATCCTTAATTACAGACAGAAGTGGTTGGGTAGCCTAGTGGTTAAAGCGTTTGCTTGTCACTCTGAAGACCCGGGTTCGATTGCCCTCATGTGTACAATGTGTGGAGTCCATTTCTGGTGTCCCCCGCCGTGATATTGCTGGAATATTGCTAAAGCGACATAGACCCATACTCACTCACTCACTAGTTACAGACATCCGTCATGTCATTGTTTGTTAAATGGAATCATAATCATCAATGTTAAAAAAGCAAAACCTGTCGAAACGATACATTCACATTATACTTGTTAAACTGATTACCCTTAAAAATCCAAGAAAATCAGATTTGCTTAAGTGAAATAAGAGACAACTGCACGTTCTCACGAGAATAATTTCTAGCGGTTTTAAAAACAATTTTATATCAGAAACTCATTTTCATGTTTTTAAATTAACTCGGAAATTTGAGTGGCTTAGTTTAAACCGTAAAAAATATACTGACGTTAGCCATCACATGACAACTGTTTAGAATGTGGCTGAAAAATGTGTGTTATGTATAGAATATGGGGAAAACCCACTAGAGCAGGAAATGTCACGAGGGCGACTGATGTTCCACGTGGAATGACACGCTAATTGATGTAGTGGGGCGGTGGGCTAGCCTAATGGTTAAAGCGTTGGCTCGTCACGCCGAAGACCCGGGTTCGAATGCCCACATGGGCACAATGTGTGAAGCCCATTTCTGGTGTCCCCCGCCACGATGTTGCTGGAATATTGCTAAAAGCGGCGTAAAACCAAACTCAGTCAGTAATTGATGTAGTATGGGAATCTCTTGTGATGGTATATATAAACAAGACGTATCATTACTCCACCCACAACTCATATCTAAAATGTATTTTTACACTTGCAGAACATACGTTTACAGATGATTAACACTGAACGTTCTGAATGTTATCACATAAATTTGATACCGTTAAATAAGAGCATCATTTTTTTGTATGAATTTCAAGTAGCCACCAAATTCTGAACGTGGGTCGGTCGGGCAAACAAAAAAGCTTAATAAAGACAAAATTATCTGAATGATATTCTTGATTTTCATTTATTGTAATTCTTATTACGATTTCTCGCGTTCTTTGGACTTGTTGTAGTGACTGATCATAAGATAAACATTTTATAAGACGAGGCGGTACGTTTTAGGTTCGAGTCGGTGGTGTTGGAATGGAAAAAAAGTTTTTTGGGGGAGGTCGGCAATAAAATTAGAAGGGTCGGTCGGGCGATGAGAAAAACAGAAAATAAAAATGCATGAATTAAATGAATGTCTTGACAGATCGTGGTATAATCTTTGATATTGTTGACTGAGGCGTAAAACAATATTTACCCATCCAAAGAATCCAGTTAGAACAACAAACGTGTTCCACCAATTATGTACCCCTGAAGATCTGGGTTAGAAATGGTCTTCGGTAACCCATGCTTGTCGTAAGAGGCGACTAACGGGATCGGGTGGTCAGACTCGCTGACGTGGTTGACACATGCCATCGTATCCTAGTTGTGAAGATCGATGCTCATGCTGTTAATCACTGGATTGTCTGGTCCAGACTCGATTATTTACAGACCGCCGCCATAAAGCTTGAATATTGCTGAGTGCGGCGTAAAACTAAACTCACTCATTCACTACACAAATAACAATGATAAAAATAATAGTAATGGGATGATGGTGTTGATGATGAGGACGACGATCATCTTTATCATCATCATCATCACCATCCTTTGAACTCCGACATTGTACTTTAGCTTGGCGTCTTAAAAATGCAACAATAAAAAAAATGATACTCATCATGGTTAATAACTTATAAGTAGGTCTATTGCAAACTAAACATAATCACAAAAATAACAGGCCGCAGCCATATAGCTGAAATATTGCTGAGTGCGGCGAAAAACTAAACTCACTCACTCCTTGAGGCGTAAAACAATCGCCCATCGCCCATCAAAAGAATCCAGTTAGAATTACAAATGTGTTCTACCAATTAAACGTGTTCCACCAATAATGTCATGTTGTGAGAATGAATAAATGCATACCAATGCCTTTGTCGAGTGCTTGTTTCCTTTTAAGGCATATAAATAAGAAAAATATTATATTTCATGTTTCATTTTTATTTATAGAAATACATACTCTCGACGCAATTCACAAAAACATCATTCATTACTAGTACACAGTAGGAAAAGGCCAGCTTTCCACATTTATACAAAAATACAAGTCGTGCTGCCATAAAAAACATTTGATGCTACGCTTCATGGAATACTGTTACCCTTTGGAATGATTGATTGGTTTGTGTTTTACGCCGCACTCAGCAATATTCCAGCTATATGGTGGTGGTCTGTAAATAATCGAGTCTGGACCAGACAACCCAGTGATCAAAAGCATGAGCATCGATGTACGCAATTTGGATACGATGACATGTGTCAACCAAGTCAGCGAGCCTGACTACCCGATCCCGTTAGTCGCCTCTTACGACAAGCATGGGTTACTGACCAATTCTAACCCGGATCTTCTCGGGTCCCCTTTGGAATGATACTAGATAGAAAACATATGTGGCATGGAGACATTGTTCCCGGAGAATGAACACATGTGGTCAGATCTACGTGGTAAATGACAAGTAAATGATGAATTTAATAAATATCAGTAAAAATAGCAACTGTACACGGGACCATTGCTCGAATATCATAGGATCTTTCAAAGACTCAGGCACAATCGGATGCTCACACATACATATATCTACATACATATATTTTAAATAACTAACTTCCTTCCTTTTTCTCCGTAATAAATTACTTTCTCACGTATAAATATATAAATAATATATGTTTGAAGTAAATTTACAACCACGATGTATAAATATTGCTACCTGATCATCGACTGCCAAGATGGTTTTTGTTTTAAATGACAAACATTGGCAATAGGAAACAACCTGGTTTAACCAGAAACAACATGATGACAGTCCCTTTACAAGGGTGATAACAAGGATGGAAACATCTATATGAAATCGTCTGATGAATGATTGATCAATGATCTGATTATTTTTAAAAATAAATAAATTCATCAATATATGTTTGTCCTGAAATGTGGTTGTTTTGATAGAGGGAATGAAAGAACATCTTTTCATATATACAATATTGGGATATTTATAACATCGAGTCATGGCGGTATATTCATGATATAAGTAAATAGAAAATGCTCACATGCGTTAAATATACAGGATGAGTTGGCAAAAATGCCAACATGATGATTCAGATTCGTGGACGGCAGTGGGAACTTTTGAAGATCACAACATCTTAAATATCTCGTCTTAACACAGACTTATAACACACAATATGCAAATTCATATACATACAAAATGGATTGGAATGATATCAAATAAATTAAGTTCATAAAATACATAAATAAATTAAAACGATAAATGCATAAAAATAACTTAGTAACGACAGGGAATAAATTAAGGGCTTGGGCAGAGTTACAGATTGTTTTCCTCCATATAAGCATCCACTCCTTCGGATACAGCGACAAAGATTCGTTGTGCGTCCCTGATGATGAGGTAATTCCTCATGTCGATGTGAGCGATTTCATGGAGATTTCTGTACTCGCTCAGCATGATGTCACGTGACACGACTGTCGTTACTTCCTGTTTCAATCCTTTCAAGATGATGTGCATCTTACACAACATTTCCACGTATTTGTTTTCGAGTTGTTCAATTTTGTCCGTATAGTCGTACGTATCCAAACCAGCTTGTTCCAGGAAAACTCCAATCTTGGACAGACGTTCTACTTCTTTCAAGAGCATCTCTTCAACCTGAAATCAATCAAATCAATATTTGTTTTTGTTATTTATTATGTATGCGGAGAAATAAGGGAATAAAGGTATACTTCTCATAGCGAAAACACGTTAGCTTAGATCTCGATAGCTCAAGACTCCGCGGGCAACCCGAACAATGGGCTTCAATCACAATGTACTCATGGGAATCGATCCTGGGCTTCAGGCGTGACGACGACCGATTTACCACTCGGTCCATCGCCCCTCCAGGAGACAGAACTAGGCCGTAAGATGATTGTTTCTATCATTGCTAAAGAGGATGTATCTTTACAGCTTACGAGTAAAAGGGTATACGTCTATAATACGTTTAAATACGTACCTTTATTCCTGCAGTAAAGGAAGCGCCTGTGTCGGGGAATCCTTCCAAGGGGGCATGTGAATCAAGTTCTGCGGCTACAGAAGAACCAATCCGGGGCTTCTACAAAAGACAAAAACAAAATACCCTTAGTATTACTCAAAACTATTGTATGAATGACTAATGATGAATAAATAAAACAGAAATGAAATATTAGATGTCGGCCAGAAGAATTGTATGTCCGAATTTGAAATTAAGCGACATAGTTTAAGTTTAAAATATTGTGAAATTATAATCAAAAGAATAAGGCATTTAACGTCGCTGCCAACATACTCCAGCTATAGAACGGAAGATCAGTTTGATCGAAAGGAACCCGATGCCATTCGGAGTTTAAACATTTAAACTTTAAATTCATTATGCTGACTTTTGAAATTTTGACTTAGCACGAAATGAGTTACCTAACATGGTGAATTTAAATGTACAATGTATGTAAATCGAACAGTTATCGGGTATAAAAGTAAGTTATTGAAGTCAAAATATTATATCTGTAATGCTTACTATTGTATAGGTCATTTCGTCGCTGAGGCTGCTTGCCGTTTGAGCCATCAGTTTGAGTGACGTCAGTTCCGTATTGATAGGTTTAGGCGGAGGGGTTGGAAGGTTCAATGATACTCCTGAGACGGGGGTACTACCGCCGCACGGATTAACCCAGCGGCCGTTCCCTTGAGGTAGTGGTGCAGCATAAGATGTCGATATAAGTTGTGAGGAAAACAGCACAGCTGAAAATCAAATGACACAGTCAGAAATATCATCTCGTAAAGTCCGGTATACTCCTCTCAAACAATTTGTCGTTAAAAGGGAGATAACTCCTTCGACCTTCTTGGCACAAAGTTGTCAAGTTGACCTAGCCGAGTGGCTGTTTACATTTGTGATTAATAAATATATTAAATTTAACAGCCCGTTTTTAATTTGCTTGACTTGTCTTTAAAAAGTTATCAGTATACTTTTTCTTAAATGCCAATAAAAGTAAGATTATTAGAAAACATTCATAAATCCTATGAAAAAAACCATGAATACCAAAAAGAAACCAGTACAGATTAAAAAGATAAATATAAAAATAAAGTAGATATACGTATACTATACATTGATAGAATATTAGAAATAACATTTGTTTAAATGTAACTATCAACCAACCTGTTGTCAGTGAAAGAGAAAATAACAACTGATCCATGTTGACAGATAAGATCGTTCGAAGTGAAATAGTTTCAGTTATAAAGTCTGCAAAGCAGAATGTTGGTACTATGTTCAGAAGAGAGCAGAAGTTATGAAATAAATCTCATCTAACGGAGTATTTATATGTTCAAAGCGGAACGAACGAAAGATATATTTGGAAATTGTGTAAACCTGAAACTTTCCAAATCTTATTTGGGTTTTTCTTGATATTATTAGGGATCACCTTTGACCCTCTCCAGCACCAATCGGTGAATATCAGCAAGCGAAGGCGTGGCCATTGTGTCGTTGTAAAACCAAGTTTATGAACAGGACATAGGCTAACGCGTGACTCCGTTCTCGGTTATCTCCCTTGGAAATAGAAATCCGTGCGCTGGAAGCGTGTGAGTGACATCAGTCAAGTCGCCTTGTTTCATTTCATGGGCCCGCAAATACGGACTTTCCATGACCTCAGACAGGTGTGCCGTGGGCGAGCGTATGTCCAATAGGATATGGAAATCGGATATTTTGAAACTTATATCAGAGCGCTTTCTCAATTATAGAATTATACGTCTTTGGGATTGTCGCTGATCTGTATAGGTAAATTCGTCAATTTCAGACCTACTTTCGTCATTGTATCTGAAATACTTCAAGGATGTACATGGCTCATATGACGTGTTTCGAAGAGTCACTTTGGGAATGAAAACGATGAAAATGCATTTTTGATAAATGAATGACTTGGTTGCCTGTGGAATTACCGTCCATGAGTGAGGGAGTACATGACTGTGCATCTTATTAATTGGGCAACGGGTCATAGTGATGGAAGGAAGGAAGAAACATTCAATACATTATAGACGTTAGCTAAATTGTTAAGCATGAATATTTTGCCTGTTTTTGACAAATGGCATAGCGTTCGTCACCAGTAAACATTACCTTACGTGTTTAAAGTTTCATCAACTTGTGTTTTAATGTATTTGTCTTTTTAATGATAACCCAACTACTATATATATATATATATATATATATATATACTTCGGCAGATCGTGTTCAAGCTGGTATAACAACTGCAGATTGTGACAAGATTTCACAAAAATACTCTGTAAAAGCAAAAGAAGATTAAAAAATCGATTTCAGAACACCTTTTGCGTTTTTTCATCTCTGATATCATTTTGTGCCTTTAATAAACCGGGCAAAAACATATTATACACATGATCGTAACGTCCGTAATGGTGACGTGACCATAGACACAGCTGAAAAAATGCCTTCGGTCTTAGTGGGTGAGTATGGTTTAGCAATATTCCAGCAATATCACAGCGGGGGACACCAGAAATGGGCTTCACACATTGTACCCATGTGGGAAATCGAATCTGGGTCTTCGGCGGAACGAGGGAACGCTTTAACCACTAGGCTACCCCACCGTCCCGTCTTCAGTCTTAACGTTAGTACTCTAAGTAACTTATAAACAAAGAATGTCAGCGGAAACAATACATCGTTCCACACTGACTGTACATTTGTTGAATATGAAACCTGTGATATACTCCGTGATGTGTATACTATTATGAGTTCATAATTTACTGTTAGCTATTCGATTGGGTAGCCGAGTGGGTAAAGCGTTTGTTCGGCACGTCTGGGTTCGAAACCTGACATATATTCATTGGGAGAAGCCCATGCCTGGTTTAAAACATCTGGAACATTGAGACAATCTACGTAGCACCTCACTCACTCAGTCATTCACTCACTCACTCACTTCGTAAGAGGCGTCTAACGGGATCGGGTGGTCAAGCCCGCTGATTTTGCTGATACATGTCATCGTATCACAATTGCGTAGATCGATGTTCATGCTGTTGATCACTGGACTGTTTGGTCCTGACTCGATTATTTACAGACCGCCGCCATACAGCTGGAATATTGCTGAGTGGGGCGTAAAACTCAACTCACTCACTCACTCACTTGATCATAACGAGAAGTAAAACACTACAGATTACGACTTCATACAAGAGCATTTAACGATACAGAAACCGTTCACACTCGCAGAGGTACACAGTTAAGAAGAGCACGCCCTTAACAACCTTTTCATATGTACATAATATGATATTGTGGAACCGTTTATCTGGACATATTCGTTTAACACCATTTATGAAAATCTTGGCAGCTGAATGCGAGGAGATGGAAGTTAAAGAGTTAACTTGTTTACAGAGGACAATGGTTTGGTTCTCACACGAGATATAATGTGAAGACATGTCGGAGTAACCCGCTATCTTATTGCTTGGATATTGCTGAAAAGAGGGCAAGGTTACTCATTAACTCTAAACTGGACTCGAGCCATTTCATAATACCCCGGCTCGATTATTTACAGACCGCCACCATATACATGTTCCTTGAATATTGCGTTAAACATCCAACCAACCAACTAATACAACCAGTCCCACTTGACACTGAGACAATGGCTCGACAACGTTGAATCGAAAGAGCGTTACTTTGCTTCATACAACAAGAGGAAATGATAGTACGATGACTCATATGTGAATGATAGCAAGGACAACTCTAATCCCTCATAAGTGATGCATCCACTTAATGAATCTGACTTCGTATGTCTGGATATATGATTGTAGAACTAGTGGGATGTGCGCCTGAACGTGTTATTGTTGTCTATCGGAAACGAGTGCGTGTGTGTGTGTGCCGCGCGCCAACTGCCTCACCTACTAAAACCTTCCCATTTTCGAATATTTTTCATATTATAACTTTCTCAAAACGCAAAATGAAATTGTTGCACATCACCAAAACGGGGTGCGCGAACACTATGGGCATTAGGATGGCCAATGACGCCTGTACGATGATGCTGCCTGGCACGTATGAAAATGCGACGTATCTGAACAACAGTGAGTGAGTGAGTAATACTATGGTTTTTAGCAATATTCCAGCAATATCACGTCGGGGGCCACAAGAAATGGGCTTCACACATTGTACCCATGTGGGGAATCGAACTCGGGGTTTCAGAGTGACGAAGACCATTAGGCTATCCCCACCTCCCCAATATGAAACAGAACACTGTCTATAAAAAGTAGTTTTGTTGTCATAATCATAAACATTTTGATTCCGTATACATTAAGAATGTAAATTTGATGCTCACAGAAGAAACAACATGTGAATCAGAACAATTTAATACAGTTATATCTTGGTGTGCTAAATGACTTTGGGGGGTAAGCCCGCGTTTGCCATTTATTTAAACACACGGGATCTGATTCGGTGCCCACAAATCAAGGAATTGTCTGATTTGGGGATTCAAACTCACGATCTACGGATCCTGGTACGACTTTACCTTATCTGTCGTCACAGACAGATTGCTAAAATACTGAAGTAGCACAACTTGATAATTTTATTTTCCCACCAAAAAAATGGTGTAATTAGAAACTGTTTCAAAATACACGTGATCTACATGTGCTTAAAAGCTGAATGATATACCCGCTCAATTTCAATAAAATTATTTATAAAATACCTAATATGTGAAATTTTGTTGCAATAATAAAGACGAATTTATAAAATTATGGTGTGGTATACGACAGGGCTATTATCCTGGTCCTGTGTTATTACATCTGAATATGCAACAATTCCTACTAAGATTGAATAACTTTCCACATGCCTATTTAGTGACTTGGAAACAAAGATGTAATCATTGCTCTCACAGGTAAACTCACATTGCTTACTCTCACAGGTAAACTCATTGAGCAATTTCTGAGAAGAAAGCGAAACCAACAACCTGGCCTTTTCTGACACGGAAGAGAGGAGGCGGTGTGGTGTGTTTGCACGAGATCAGCAGTGAGCCATTTGTAAACAGATATCTACCTTTTCCCCAGGAATCGGAACACAATATTCCAAGCTCACAGATCTGAAGGTGTTCCTACAAAAGAACGCGTGATACTTGGTGTAACTAAGAACACGAAAACGATTATGGCTAATTGAGTCATCTGTTGAACATAACAGACACATTTTGAACAACAAAAAACAAAAACACTTAAAAGCAATATAACCATGATTGAAATGAATAATTCCAAGAGGTTTAGCTATGTTAAAATTAACCTATTAATAATAAATCAAAATAAATTATAGATGATATTGGATAAAACTCCAATTTTTACTGTTTCTTAATAGAAAATATTCGTGTAAATGTCTTCGGTAAACTTGCAAGGGCAGGGGCATACAAACTGTTCTACGATCTGCATTATTCGTAAATTGTTGGGTACTCCTAATTTGGCAGGTTTGAAACGTGAGTGAGCGAGCATGGTTTTACGCCGCTTTTAGCAATATTCCAGCGATATCACGGCGGCGGACAACAGAAATCGGCTTTACATATTGTGTAGCCATGTAGGAAATCGAACCCGGGCCTTCGGAGTGACGAGCGAACGCTTTAATTGAAACATGCGAGATCATTTTGACGAGATGACACTTTTGTCCTTGTTTTACGCTGCTTTTAAGCAATATCCCACCAGGGTAAGAGGTGAACTGGGGTTTAACTCCACGTTTAAGATGTATGTGTATGTCTGTGCGTGCGCGTGCGCGTGCGCGTGCGAGTGCAAGTACATTTTGGACATGGCCATTTTGCAGTGTTAGATGCCATGCCACAGTTCATGCCACAAACTATCCCACTCATTCACCCCGTTCTGACCAATCCCAGTTCGATTCCAAATGTCGTACGGCAGAAACGGTAACACCAGTATCATCTTTTAAACGTCACGGGGCCGGGGATCGAACCATGTGCTCTCGGGGCAGTCACTCTATCCACTAGGTCACGGAGGCGGTCTGTAGGGAAAGAGATTGTCTAAATTGGGAACATCTCGCAGAAATTCTGTAATTCTGACTTAGGAACGCCTTAAACCGGGATTCCTCACATGGGTACAATGTGTGAAGCCCACTTCTGGCCAAATGCCAGGACTGCCTCTTTGCAAGAGCTTAGCTCCCCTTTAAGACACCTGAATCAGGCATGCGTAATGAATAATGGCTCAATAATATGGTACGCAGACTGCAAAGAAATCTCGAAGACATCTCAACATTCGTTACTCCAGTAGTTGGAGAGAAGAGGTGTGTTAGTAGACCATTGTGTCGATCAGGATATTACTGTGACGAGGTAACATCGACTTAAACGATATATGTAAGAAGACTCGGGGACGTGTAGCACATAGTCTCTTGAGACACATGCTGAATATATCATAGAAGAACAGGGATGTTCCACAATAGATTTTCCAACGAAATTATTTAATTTATTCATTCAAACAACAAAATATATGCAAACAAAGAATATAGTATTTTTAACGTTAGGGCCTACTGTGTGTTTTCGGTGTTGTGTAAATGTACATGAACGTGGGATGGTGGGCATTGGGTTTAAAACTGTTTCTAACGGTACTCCAGATATATCATTGCAGTTTAATGTGTTTATGTGGTGAGGACTTGGGGGGTAGGGGCTGATCCTACAGTGATTCGGGTCTCAGATGGTACCACTTCGGTGAAACCCACATGCGTGATTATGGAGCTAACAACCTAAGATATATTCGAACCCAGAATTATAGGTTTCTGGTGAGTCCAAGGAATACTCTCAACATCGACTCGTGGTACAGTCGGCAACTTGCCAAACCGTGCCCCGGGGTATTAAGAAATGGTTTGAGTCCAGTTTAGAGATAATGAGTAACCTTGCCCCCATTTGAGCAATATCCAAGCAGTAAGATAGCGGGCTACTCCAACATGTCTTCACATTATATCCCGTGTGAGAACCAAACCCTTGACCCCTGTTAACAAGTTAACACAGGTCCTCACATTCAGCTGCCAAGATTTTCATAAATGGTGTTAAACGAATATGTCCAGATAAACGGTTCAACAATATCATATTATGCACATATAAAAAAGTTGTTAAGGGCGTGCTCTTCTTAACTGTGTACCTCTGCGAGTGTGAACGTTTTCTGTATCGTTAAATGCTCTTGTATGAAGTCGTAATCTGTAGTTTTTAACTTATCT